CTATAGTTTAGATTTTGATGTTTTGATGACGTCATGTGAAAACCAGCAATTAAATCAGCATCCGATGACAGATATTCTTGGTGGAGATATTGCACAGTGGGGGAGGGGCTACATCGGTTCAGTCTTGGTCGAGGCGATAGCATTTGAGTGTATACTTTGAATTTCAAAGTAGTGGATTCCGGATTCCAAAAGGGTGGGTTCCGGATTCAATCATAAATTGGATTCCGGATTCCAAGGCCTGGATTCCGGATTCCTGAGTGCTGGATTCCGAATTTCAAAGCCTAAAATTTCGTGGATTCCGGATTCCGGATTCCCTTACATGGGGCAATCGAAATTGACTCAGAGTGCTTGCTTGCCGCAATTCATATGGAAGGCTATTCCATAGCACTGTACCATCATAGCTAAAACTGTTCTTTACTTAAATTGGTGCGTGGCCTAGGAATAGCTAGTTTGCCTTTGGTGTTTCTCAAAGAATAATTTGTTATGCTGCTACGATCGATAAAAATGGAACTCAGACATGCTGGTGTGAGATCATGCAGTGATTTATAGACCATAACCGCTTTTTGTATTTTTCGCTGGACTTCTAGTTTTTTCCATCCAAGTTTCCGAAAGAGAGGGTCGACACTAGCGTCATAACTAGAGAATGTCAAAACCCTCGCTGCACGACTTTGCAGTTTCTGAAGCTTGTCAGTGAGGGTTTTGTTACAGTTATCCCACACAACACAGCAGTAATCAAAATTTGGCTAGATTAAAGAACTATAGATAAACTGTAGAGTTGAAGTTGGGACGAAGGGCCTTATACACTTCAGGGCTCCGATGCCGGACGCAATCTTTTTGGATAATTAATGAACGGCTATCCGAGAGATGTCCGTTTACTAGACATTTTTGACTACGATTGCTTAAATACGAATCAAACCATTTACTTGCAGAGACTTCAAAGCCGTATGCTCTTAGCTTTGAAAGCAGTATTCTATGATCTACGGTATCGAATGCTTTCTTGAGGTCCAGGAAAACCACCGCATTAACATTGCCAAGATGGATGTTATAAGCCCAGTTATTTGTGGCCTCAAGAAGCGCAGTTACCGTAGAATGGAGGCATCGGAACCCTCTTTGGCAATTTGGACGATTAATATTGGAAAGAAAAGCATAGGCTTGATCGTAAATGATCCTTTCAAAAACTTTTGCCACGCACATGTTCCTTCGCTCTCCTTGTTTGAATAATGGTAAAACTTTAGCACATTTCCATTCGTCTGGGAATATGACCGTATCAATGGAACAATTGAAAATTAAGCATAAAGGCTCCGCTATTATATCAGGGCATTCACGAAGAAGCTAGCAGATGTTTTGTCCAGACTAGTAGCTTTTGAATTACAAAGCCTGGACAAAAGGAGAAAGACTGTGGAGGCATAAGTTGGTTTCAATGTAAAACTAGCACTTGGTGATTGACTCGTAATAAAATCTAAATAAGAACGACTGTTTGCATTGTTTGAATCTATTTTCGCAGCAAGTTTTGGTCCAATGCTGGCGAAATGATTATTAAATTCTTCAGAGAGTTTTTGGGAGTCAGTAATTGTTAAGTCATTCAATTTGATTTCTTTGATGTGAGAACTAGTTTGTTTACGTGAAGTCAGTTCATTGATGATACTCCAAGTCTTTTGAATTGTTTTCATTTTCATAGAAAGCGTTGTTGTAATAAGCTTGTTTAGAAATTTTTAATTCGGAGTTCACAGAATTGCGGATTTTTTTTTAGGAACTTTTTTGCATGTTTGGTGTCCTTTTCTCATAACATGGTCCTTGCTACGGTCCTTGGTTGGTGTAGTCGCACCGTAAAAACCAATTCCACATATGGGCATTTATCTATTTATTTAAGTCAATACCATACAGGCATATCTACACGTAGTTTAGCAATGCTAGTTTAAATAGAGTACTTGAGTCCTGGGCATAGCTCCTTGCTGCCTTAAAACACACACCATCTTCTACATTACCCTATCTACTTATGGAAATAAATTATAATACTTATTTTATATTGAATTCCTAAGACACTCAGGCACACGTTATAGTGTTTTTTACATCATTGGACACCAGTGAGAGGTGTACTGTCTTGGACTTGAGCATTACCAGTCATCCTTGGTTAATACAAGTTAATGATTCAGCAGGACTTGGCCCTAAAGAGTTACCAATTATCTTTACATCTGGTTTATAACCTGTGTTAAGTGCATGTTTCAGCCTGTTGAATGCATCAGCTAGCTTCATGTAGTCCTCTTTTGTGTTGTACACGTTAGCAGATATTCTGCACCATAAGGAGGACTGAATGCAGCACACAGCTGTTAGCACTCTGTAACGTTGAAAGAGATCTCTTCTGATCATAAACTCAGATTGGCAGCTTGTTCCATAGGCTGCAGTGAACTCCAAAGGAAGGCGGATGCTTGCCATAAATGGAGCTCGCATGGATTCAGGGATAGGGAGAACTTCAGTCTTCCATTCAGTGGCTAACATCAAAGAAGCCCAAGAAGCAAGACACTTATTGTATCCTGTTATGGCATTCTGCAAGATAAAAATAAAACAATAAAATTAAAAAGTTATAACCAAGAGATCTTCAAAGGCGGATCCATCCAAAATTTTAGGGGGGGGCTAATTGAGTTTAGGGGGGCTAATTTCTTCCATCAGCACAGCAGAAAACAATACAAAAAAGCATTGGTTTTGTCTGCTGAAGGGGGGGGCTTCAGTCCCCCTTTGCTCCCCCCTGGATCTGCCCTTGATCTTGCCATGTTGAACAAACTAAAAGCCTGTGTGTTTACTAGCCATCATCAACAGCCTGTTTGCATCTTCTTGCTACCATTACCAAATTGCTTTAGGACTTTTTACTTATTTAATGTTTTATTGCTTCATGAGATGCTCATTGAATGGCAAACATAAATTGTGAGGGATTCTATTAGTTGCAGCACATGATTCTGTCTGCAAATATCCCATTTTACAGCTAGTAAAGTATGTAGTTCAAAAATAATATTGACTTGAAGGAAAGAGCAGTATTTGCATAATAGCTCACTTTATGAAAGTCACAAACAATCTGTCAGTCACAAATTTTGTCTTACTAAAAGTGCAAACAAGATATCTTCTATAAAACCTATTTTCATTATCTCAATTACAGCCATTCTCAATCACACGCGCCCTCTAGCAATTGTTTCTGTAGTGAAGAAGTAGATTTTGGTGGACGTCAATCAAAGCGTTTCCATGACATTCCAAAAGCATGTGCCCTCATAGCTTTGTGATTTCCTACATGTTATTGAAACGCCTTGTGATTGACGTCCATCAAAACCTTCTTCGTCACGACAGAAAAAATCGCTAGAGGGCATGTGTGATTGAGAATGGCTGTAAGTTAATGATAATATATGTTGTCATCTTTCATACCATTCCTCCAAGTTCATAATAAAACTTCGAAGCAGAATCTATAACTAAGTATGAAGTCTGGTCTTGGGTGCCTTGCATAAAGAACTTGTCTTGGAAACCAAGGTCTTGATTCCAGGAAACAACGAGGGGGTTGATGGTATCCTGGTATTTTGGATGGACCCAAAGAATGGCCGACCCCCTTGGGGTAAACATCCACTTATGTAAGTTACCTGTAACAGTATCATCATCAAGAACATTATAATTATTACCAGAATCATCATGATCATAATTGTCATTTCCAGCATAACCAGTTAGCATCATCATCACCAGCATCATCAACATTATCACCACCAACAATATCATTATAATCATCATCATCATCATCACAGGTTCTCATCATCATCACCAACATCATCATTATAATCATCATCACCACATCATCTTCATCACAAACATCATAATTATTATCACCAGTTATCATCATCATCACAAGCATTATTATCATCAGAAGCATCAAAAACATCAGCAAATGCAGCATCAGCATTATGCATCTACAAAGGCATTATCATATTGGCATCAAAATTAACAGCATTATGACTGTCATCATCATCATACACAGTATCATGTAGCACCATCCTAGCATGTTCCTTACACCAATACCATATTAATTATAAAAGGCTTATAGACACTTACCCACAAAAAAATCTGCATTCAAGCTTTCTAGTTCCAGAGGTACTTGTCCAGGAGCATGCGCACCATCAACCAACACCATAACACCAAACTCATGGCACACTTGAATTATCTTGCTGACTGGCATTTTCATTGCACTAGCACTCGTTATATAGTCAACAATTGCTAGCTTGATATTGGGGTTTTCCTTAAGTACTTTACGATATTGTTCCACAATATCTGCAGCATAGAACTCTACTGAGCCATCTAGATCCGAGGTTTGAAATGTGATATTAAGTACTACCAGATTACATTTCTTGGACAGACAGACATCTTGCGCTGTCTTGTAAATTGCTCCATATGTTTGATTTGTTACTACAATCCCTTGCCCTTCAGGTAGATCTAAGGACTTCAGCACTGTGTTTACTCCTGTAGTTGCATTGAGTACAAAGACTAGGTTCTTGGGATCAGCATTTACAAACTTGGCAATTGCAGTGATAGACTTGTTCCACATTGGTCTTGCTTTATAGAAAAACCATGAACCTGGACACTGTTCCATTTCATCCTGACAGAAAAAGAATACATAAGAGATAACTAGCTAAAAACTAGTGTGAGCTGTGTCGGTGTTTTTAATCAAACAGTAATGATAAAAAGGTAAATTACACACCATGAAAAGATGAAAAAACTTACTGACGTTAAAAAGAATACAATTAATTCTAAGATTGTAACTAATGATGCAGTCATTTGCGATTTGTAATTGCAAGTTTGATTTCAGACCAAAATTGCACGACATGAAGTTCAATTACCACTTAATCATATCCTTTTTGTAATCATACACAAGAAAAAGACACAATAAAGAGTGCAGAATAATCAATTTAATGTAGTAGAAGAACTAAATGGAAACAAAAAAAAACGTCTAAAAAAATTTTTTTTATTTTTTTATTTTGTTTTATTTTATTGTTTGAAAAAAAAACTTTTTTAGGATGCGATTAAGAACTCCTAAGGATGTGATTTGGGAATTAATCGCACTCCTTTGGACCAATCAGATTGCAGGATTTGGTAGTGATTACAAAAAGGATATGATTAGGGAGAAAACAAAACAAGAAACTCAACTAAAATATGCTGTTCAATTGAAAATCAAACCGGCGTCCACTGAGGCATGAACTCTTGCTACTCTCCACACCTCTCTGACAAACTATATCTTATAACATACCTTTAGCCTCTGCTGTGCTTCTTGAACTACCCTCGGAACAGTTCCAAATGAACCATGATTAACAAATGTTGCATATGCATCCAAGGTAAACTCTGTGTTTCTTAAGTGTTTGCCGAAGAGCGACTGCTTGTATTCTGGACCAAGGATCAATGTCAAGATGGAAGTGGTTAGCTTGATGAGTGCCACCCACCAGACCAACAAGAAGAACATGGTTATTTGAGCAATGCTGTCATGTAAAGTATATATATGTATACATTAAAATTAATATACATAGGAATTCCAATAAAGGACCTACAGAGTGGTTTCACAGTGGCCATATTGCACACAGTTGGGCCAAAGCCTGAATCCAATGCACATATATTATGAATAATGATCTACTAAATTGCTTGTACTTGCATCTGGTGGCAAATCACAGTAAAAAGACTAAATATAACAAAGTGAGTCGTATCATACGAAGCAGTATACACACGTTCTTAACATCTTAAACCAACCTTGTAATAATCCATGATATTGTTCCAGACGACATCTTTTTCTCAGCTGTTTGATCACGTCCAAAGTCTAGTAAATATGTCAAAGGTCAGCTCAGGAAGATTCTGTTATTACTAATATTCTTTTCCACGATCAGATATTAAGTTCTCCCATTTAAAAAATTATCACAAAGACCTTTCAAGATTGATTACACATTAGAAGATCTTGTGATCGAAACAAAGAGCAAAGAAAAAGAGTGGAAAAACTGAGAAAAAATTCAAAAACTCTTTGATTTTTCTCAGTCCATGTGGAACTAGTATCAGACTATTCGCTTGCCCTTCGTTCGAGGGAGTCTGGGCTTAAAAACGAAAACAGCTTGAAAACAAAAAAAACTCCTCTTTAGCGAATTTAACTTTTATCTTAAAAGATAAAATCTCATATGAAAAAATATTGCATATAGTAAAACAATATCTTTATTTGTCATATTTTATACTTTTGCAATGGTACGAATATCTTCCGATTCATATTCCGAATGTAGCGTGGCGAAACGGACTTCCATGGCAGAACTGACCTAATACCTCTTAGCCAATAGAAGACGTGCTTTTATCTACCAATCAGAATGCATGGTGAAACCAACTCATTGAATATCCTCCCTTGGGGGAAGGGGAGACATAGTTGAGACCACGTTGACCACGTTTTTATCTTCCAGTTGAGT